CGGAACTCTTGCAGGTTTAATTATATAATAATAATTTAATTTCTAATTTGATCAGTTAATTTCGGTACTTATATTACGAAGAATTGCCTTTTATGTTCATTTCGCTTTTGCAGGTTCTCACTGATCTTGTTGGTGCCATAAATGAGCACTGGTTGTATGAATGCCCCACCATGGGCTGGCTCTAATTTGGCTGCAGATGACGTTATCATACAAATTTCAAACTATGCCCCAAACAACTTCTGCAATTGCACTTTGGTTGGTTAAGTTGGATGCTCTATTTGCTCCAAATTTGGAAAGAGTTCTGGCTGAAAGACCTCCAGTATCCATGCCCCAATCAAAATGTATATCATGATTATATTTTACTTTTATGCTTTACTTCGTTTGTGCCTTTATGTTAGTATTCTTGCTCATCCTATATGCTCTTTAATATATGGTACAAGCTTCTTTTAAGTACCAGGGTATATCATTGCTGTTGTAGGGCATATTTTGAGACTACAAGTCTAATACTTCGTATAATGTTTTATGTGAGTTTCGTTTTATACTTCTGCTTGCTTTTTGAACTTTGTTGATGATGAGTGTGTTGCTATGTCCTAAGTTATCTAGGTTGAATCTTGGATTTTGATGATGAAATTAATTGATAATTATTTATGATTTAATCTACGCTTTGAGCGACGCAGGATGCTTCGATCAGGGAAAGACAATTAAAGGAAGAATCATGTTTGGTCGGAAAAAAACATATCAAAAGATTGGACGTCATGTTGAAGGATCGGTCGACATATCGACAAAAAGCTTCGGGTCATGAGTTTGGCTATCGAGCCAAGAAGAGCGGATATTGTGCCAAGGATATCGGAGTTGTGGAGGTTAACTGGTCGATTAGGCAATAGGCCATAAGAGAGAACGATGCGTCGAAGAATCGGACGAAGCATCGATGGACCAATGACATGTCAGACAATATGATTCATGCTTAGTAATAATTGTCTAGATCGAAGTATGTTTTTATGCGTGCAAGATTAACTACGATAGCAAGGCATAAAGCGAAATGAAGTTTCAGAGTCAAGAACGTGATTTTGTTGGGAGTTCAACAGTTCATCGGAAGTTCTGCAGGAATTGACTGAGAAGTCCAAGAGCTTACCAAAGAAGCTCGTCGGAACTCGTTAAGAAGATCGTCGTGAAGTCTAGGAGTTTGCCGAGAGTTCGCTAGAACATTGCCGAGAGATCGTCGGAAGTTCGTCGGAAGAAACATAGACTTACAGACTTTATTTAGCTTAGTAAATGTCTTAAAATTCATAGTTAGCACATAATTAGGATTAAAATTGGGCCAACCCAATTAAGGGACAGTTGGGCTAAGTTTAGGCTATGTTGGGCCAAGAGAAAGGCTCAAACAATGACCAAACAAGTGAAACCGTCATGGCACAGTCTCCGAGATTGTCTAGGCGGTGGTATCGCCCGTACCCTGAAATTTTGAGGGTTTGAATTTTGGGCTTCAAATTTGAATACATTTGGGGCCTATAAATATCCCAGTTATTCCTGTATGGATAAGCAAGAAATATTGAGCAAAACTCTGTGATTCTAAAGTTGCAAACTTTAGAAAGTTTAGTTCGCTCCTCCCAAAGCTTAGAGAGAGTTCTAATGAAAGTGTGAGAGGGATACCTTTTAAAAGAGGGTTATAAAAGGTTGTCTCCTAAACCTGTGAAAAGGAGAAGAGGGTGTAAAAGGGTAGTTGGTCTTCGCCTATTGAAAGAAGACCGATAGTGGATGCCAGTAGCCTCGACGGAAGACGAATCGGTGGAGTGGATGTAGGTCATGACGACCGAATCACTATAAAATCTGGTTTGTATTTATTTTAATCAAATTACTTTAACTGCAAACTGAATCTTTACTTGTCTATTGCTTTCACTTTATATATGAATAATAAGTTATCTTTCGAGTTCGGTTTTCAACGTACGAAAGATTTTTTAAACAGACGTAATTTTATCGCTGCACTAATTCACCCCCCCGCCTCCTCTTAGTGCCGACTCATTCCTAAAAATGTATTTATTTTTTTATCATCAACTGCAAATTAGCTAGGTTCAGACAATAGTTCTAGGAAAGTTAATGCACTTTTCCAGAAGTGTTATTAACATGTTAGGGATGACTTTGAGTGAATTTGCATATATTCCTAAATGAACTTGGAAATGCTTCACAACTGATTCTTCTTAATTTTTTGGGTTACCATTAATTTCGAGTTTCTGGCTAACTCTTTTTTTTATTTATAAGTTTAATGTTGTGCAGCCAAGGATCATTCGCTTTCTTTTTATGTATTGAAAATATCTGGATGAATAAAAAAAAAAAAATCAGGTGCCATGAAGAAGGGGGATTCATTCTTTGAGGCCTAAACGACTGAGTTGCCGTGAAGAAGTGAATTTATCCTTGAGGCCTAAATGATGCCAAAGATCCTTAAAGATATCTTTTAATAAAGCTAGAATAACGAATCTAAAATAATTTAAGAAAGATTTCAAATATTTTGGAGCAACGCATTTATGCCATTGATAATGCTTCTAGAATGATATGTAGATGCAGATGGGAAAATAGTTTTTATTAGCAATTTTTTCTGGGAAAAGAAGGGTATCATAGCTTAGGTGCCCTAGAGCTAAAGTTGCAATGAGCTAAATGTTGTTAAATATTTTCAATTCTGCCACAGATAATCTCACACACAACAACGCATTTTAATTATAAAGTTATCCATCAAGATATATATTAAATTAATCAAATATAAAATATTGGTGCTTCATTCTGAAGTCATGGAGATTAATTTGGTCATATCATTTGGTGGTAGTAATTTGAGATTGAGGATGTTGTTTGATGCAACTAAGTTAATTTTCTTGACTTTTGAAATAAAAAAAAAAAATATATATATATATATATATATATTTTTTTTTTTTTTGAAAATGAAGAACAAAAAAAACCAAAAATCATAGGTGCCACTTAGTATTTCCATGACTTGTGCATTTTTTTACTGTGAAAACTATTGCCGTCTTCTTTAAACATAGGGCTACTTTGACAGGTAGGCTTGTTGTAAAAGGTGATTGAATATATCTTTATCCTGCACACTCAAAGAGTTTACTAGTCGCTGATCCATCCATGGCTATTTTATTGTTTCAGGTAGGCGGAACTGTATCAATAGTTGAGATCAGAGGGTCTTTTAGGGTGAGCGTATTTGTATTTAACAACAACATATGTCAGTAGAGCATTAGAGTTTGATGCAACCAATCCCAATATCTACTTCAAGATACTGTTGTTTGACGTCAGCATGACAGCCATGCCTCTTTGGTCTTGTGCAGTGGGGTCTCTCCAAGTTTTCGAGGTAACAAATGGTTGTAATTTAGGATGCTGCAGCACCTGCAAATATTTAGTATCATAATCTCGGGCAGGGCAGCCAGGGATTGTGGCAGCTGCAGAAATAATATATATATATTCTATTTTGTTCGCTGTTTTCCATCACATAGCATAATATATATTTATGCTAGGAAATATCAATGACTTTTTCGTCGGACCTGTCACACCAATGGTCAACATGCCAGTGAATTCTGCCTGCTGTCTCTTTTCTCTTCTAAAAAGCTACAACGTGTCTGTGCGGCTCATAACGTTTATTACGACATAAGCAGTCAATAAAATTTAATCTTTTTCTTCTGATATACAAGTCTATTTACATACCGGTACGTACGTAAAGAAGAAAAATTATCAGGTGCAATAATAATGTTTACTAGCGTCGTTTGTTCGAGATATTTAGGTGGGATGTGACAAAACTGCTCAGGTTCTGGTCCCACTCGTGAGTGTCTCATCCGCCTCTCTCCCCGTCAAGGCGTGGTCAGTTTACGTGGTGGATCATTCACATCTGTTGAAATCTTATATCTATGTTGAAAACACAAGGACTATTCAGAAATCTTATATCTATGTTGAAATTTCAAAAGCTGAGGAGGATGGGACGAGCAAGTCCAATTTGGTGATGAAGAGTTGTAATTATCAGAAAACACAGTGAACGCATTCATTCTCTCACCACTGGTGGTGCTCCCCGCCAGAGCAGTCCAAGTCCAAGTCCATCTCATCTTCACCTATTCTTCCTTCCGGTTCTCATTTTTCCATGCTTTGTGTAACGTGAAGAGGCACGCGGTCGTCGGCCAATACATTTCTTGACAAGGACGCCTCAACCATCAATGGCGTAGAAAAAGGAGCTGATTCGATGACATGACTTTTGACCGAGTCAACTCCGGTTTATAAACGTGTATGTATGTATCTGTGGGATGCTTCTTCGACCACTCAAACACCCTGAGACAGCGGTACAACTTTCAAGTCCAGACTTTAGGTCGTGACCCAAGTCACCACGACAATCGCGTTTCGTGGTGGGAATACCTGATCCTAAGTAGCGGCCTAACTCATGACAGGACACACTCGACGCGCTGGTGATGATGCCCGTTATCCATGGCCAACAAATTTCTTCTACATCGCCTTTGTTGTGACACCATCTTTCTACGTCTTGACTCTTCCAAATACCCGAAGCTACACGGCATCATGGGAAGCAGATTCATTTAATGTTTGTTGTTGACAAAAAAAAAAAAAAAAGACTCGAGATTTAATTACTAGAAAGCTTTCCTTGCTGGCAAATTACCCAAAATCCTTCACCTTAGTTTTTCAATTGCTTCGAAAACACTTAATATAAATTTATTTCTATCTTGTGGGTAATTGTTTTTCAATTAATTTTAATGTTTTGTACGATTCATTTTTTGTTGTTGTGTGTGTGTGTGTGTGTGGTTACTTTAGATAAATAATAACTTTCTATATTCAATTAGTTACTTTAGTAGTGTTAATTATTCTAAATTTGCAATATATTTATGTAGACGATCTATTAATCATGATGTCTCACATCACACGAACGCGGTGACTCACGTCAGCTTGTCATGGTTTGCCCCGTAATTTTCTGAGACACGACGGTGGACACACTGCTTCAGCATTATTGCTATAGATATTTCCCCTCTCGTTCACAGTGGCCAAAGAGCATCACCATGTCTCCCTCCTCCCTATCCCCTTTCCTCAAGCTGCTGCTGCTCCTCCTCCTCTTCTCTGTGATCAGTGCCGACCCGTTGTATAATATCTGCGGCACCACCGGAAACTTCAGCGCCAATAGCACGTACCAGACCAACCTGAACCTCCTCCTCTCCCGCCTCGCCTCCAATGTTTCCGCTTCTGGCTTCATAAACGACACCGTGGGGCGAACCCCCGACCAAGTGTACGGTTTCGCCCTCTGCCGGGGAGACGTCAACTCCAGCGCGTGCGGCTCCTGCGTCGATACTGCCACCCAGGACATTCAACAGATGTGCGCCTACAACAAGGCTGCTGTGATCTGGTACGACTTCTGCCTCCTCCGCTTCTCCAACGGGAGAATTTTCTCCTACGACGGCAACTCGCCGGAGTTCTACATGTGGAACGTCAACAACATCACCCGGGCGGATCGGTTCAGCAAGCTCTTGGATCTCCTGCTGAACCGTACGACAGACAGGGCGGCGAACTCCGCCAAGAAGTTCGCCACCGGGACGGTGAGCAACTTCACGTCGACGTTCCCGATGGTGTACGGCCTGGTGCAGTGCACTCCGGACCTGTCGCAGACAGATTGCGGGACGTGCTTGCGCGGTCTGTACAGCCCTTTACCGAAACTAATGGTGGGAAAGGAAGGAGGGAGGGTGATCGGAGTGAGGTGCAACATGAGGTTTGAGGTGTACTCCTTCTACCAAGGCAACTCCACGCTGGCGCTTACAGCTCCCGTGGAGAGCGCATCGGAACCGACCCCACCGCCTGCCTCTCCGCCACTTGCTACCCCCGCCGTTCCCCAACGAGGTAAGTACCTCGGATCATCTCTTACTACCACACATCTTAATAACATATGATCTTGTCAGTCTTTTTCGATTTCTACGTATGCCTTTTTTTCTTTTTAATCGTTCTCTCTGACTCAAAAAAAATATTTACATATGTTATTATAAAAATATTTACACATAGTCCATATATGAGTATTATTATTCTTATTATTATTACGTACGTTATTATAAAAAAAATTCAAACGTAAAATACAAATGTACATCAGACTCTGTACACACACCCCTCCCTGCTGGTGAAGACGCCCACTATTAGCCAACCACCCAACTCCTTTTTCTGCAATAATTGCGGCAGAAGACTACGAACAGTCAACACGAACAAACTTGTCTCCGTGGTCTCCTTTGCTGTCGTTATCCTTGCGAGCAACGTCTGACACCACCGAGTTGCAGCCACTTTAGATCGCGCCTTAAAAAGCAGCATAGGAGTAAGAGCCTAAAACAAAAAACTAGTGCTGAGACTTTCACTTTTCCCTGCCATTCATCGGTCATCAAATTGAGTGGCCTGCCAATTATACTTTTTCAGAAGATAATTTAATTTAGATACATAATGCATTGTCACATCTCCGATTTATAAAAAAAAAAATTATTTTTTTAATATTTATAATTCATTTTTATTTTTTATTTTTAAATTTAAATCCTTATATTCATAATAATAAATATTTTTTAATAAAAAATCACATCTTCACATGTGACAAAAAAAAAAAAAAAACTCTCTTCCACCCTAACCTCAAATCTACTAATTAAATATAAGTAGGTTAAATATAAGATAAAAATAATTATTATAAAACTTAAAAAATAATATAAATAATATTGATATTAATAAAATATATAATGATATCAATAATTTAATATGAAATAATAACATAATAATTTATTATAAAACTTATATATTAAAAAAATAATGATAATTCTTATGTAGTAAATAAAATTATACATATGTAACACATCTTCATAACATACATAATAGTCAAATAACAAATACTTATATCTTGTTTAATATTACACTCTCCTAACAACGGATAAAGATGTATACTTTACGTGATGGTTTTCTCCGAATAACAAATAGAGAGTATTTATATTGCATTTCCAATAAAAAATGGATGAACTATCTAATCATCACGTTTGATGGTTTGCTAATCTCCAAAGGGAATCATCTTACTTACCCTCGGTAGTGATATAATTATGATAATTTACATTCATTCATTTATGCTGCATACATCTAAGAAATAGTATGATAAACATATTATGAAGGACTGATGTATGATCTACTAAAGTATGATCTATTAAACTATATCTATTGGTGGCTGCACATGTGGGCTACTAGTATAGCTACATAGCTATACTATATGTAGGCTACTAGTGTGAGCAGTATAGCTACATATACTACATGGTAACAATCGTATCAATATCATAAGTTTAATCTGAAAGAAATAGTAACAACTAATAATTATTTTCAAATGATACTTTCAGATAAAACTTTTAAGTTCATCAAATTATAAAAATATGAGATGTTAATCTCTCTATAGACCTCAATCAAAACCCTAACTGAAATAACCTTGTTGACTAAAACCAAATTCAATTCAATTAGAATCTAATCGAACTTATCTCAAATCTTTATAGACATAATATGGAATTATCCTAGACTGGTTTCATCTAGATTTAAATGATTTTAATTAAGTTTATTTGAATTAGTCAAGTTGAGATGACAATGTAATTAACGTTAGTTTTATTTTTAATTAATTTTTATTTTGCTTTCATATATATAAAGATAGAATTATAATATTTATTTCTTATGGTTCACATATAAAAATAGAATTTAAACTATTTACTTTATAAAATTCACATAGTGCATTAGGAAATAAATCAATTAATAATTTAATTAATTATAAAAAAAATTAATTTACCTACATAAGTAAGAAAATTAATTTTAATCATTTCCTTAACTACACTATACAAACAAAAAAAAATTAATTATTTATAATAATTAATTTATTTTAAGGGAAAAAAAATCGATGATTACATACCTCCAATTCAATTAGGTACGTCTAAAGTCATCTGGAACCAAATTTAGTTGGTTAATTATTTTGTTAATTATATTCTATTTAATAAAACAATATTAGTTGTGTAGGACTAAGCGGATCTCTTTTCATTGTTCCTAATAAAGTCGTCTTAATATCTCCCTCTGTTTTCCCATATATCATTGATCTTGACTGCAATATATTTCCTAATAACCTTATACTTCATTCTCGATATCTTATATCAGTAATCATTGTTAGAAGAATATAGTAGAATTAAACATCAACCAATTTGGGTTTTTGTTCCCAAACTTCTCTTTGTTCTTGCATTTCCGTCCTCGAGGAGTTCACCATGCGCAGCCCAATCGTTATGGTGATTGAGAAACGGGATGATGAGTTTTGGTGGCCATCTGTCGGTGCAGGAAAAAAGAAGAACGCAATTGGAATAGTTCTAGCTATTGTCATACCTGCAGCGACTGCAGTGCTGCTGCTGATCTCCATTGTTTGCGTCTGCTACTGGAGGAAGAGGAAGCGGATACCGAAACCTCCATGTGAGTGACTTGCCCATGCTCTTTTTCCTTCATTGCAATTGAATATAAGCCATACCGTTGTTTGAACAAGACAGGGAAAATGTTAGGATAAAAAAGTTGGTTCATTAACTGACTTGGTGCCTCCATCTTCCTCTTCCTCTCTCCTTGTCCGCGCCAACTAGAGATGCTGCTGGAAAATTCTCTTATCAAGGCTAAAAACTTATATTAAACTCATATATAAGTTTAAACGAGTTATATATATATATATATATATATATATATATATATATATATATATATATATATATATATATATAGAGGGGGTAAAATCAAAACTTTTGACTATGATAATTTTTTGAATTAGATCTCTTCAACTAAAATCATATCTAATCACATGATTTGAATTAATATTCCAACATATGTACGGCGTTGTGTGTTTTTCCTACAATATGAAACAATTAGAATCCTTGTCATCATTACCATTTTTAACATGCTTGCAACTGCTTGCTGTTTCATAGACGAAACTGATGGGGAGCAGATCCCGAGTGTTGAATCACTACTGTTTGATCTATTGACAATACGACTTGCGACAGCCAACTTCTCCACAGAGAATAAAATTGGAGAAGGTGGATTCGGAACAGTGTACATGGTACGACCAGAGCCTTCTCCTCAGTATTCCACTTCGAATGCCGCTCTTGCTCTGTCCTCACGCTATAAGATCTTGTGCAGGGACTGCTACCGGATGGAAGAGAAATAGCTGTCAAGAGACTCTCCAACTCTTCTGGGCAAGGACTTGGAGAACTGAAGAATGAGTTAGTTTTGGTCGCAAAACTCCAGCATCGAAATCTTGTAAAGCTTCTGGGAGTTTGCTTGGAGGAAGAGAAGATGATTATCTACGAATATGTGCCCAACGGAAGCCTGGACGCCTTTCTTTTTGGTTAATTCTCCTTCCATATATATCATATATCACTGCTCTTCTTCATTGCCCGAGTGCTTGAGGTCCTAACACCTTTTCCGTCCAACAGATCCTACGAGAGGCCAACAGCTTCGTTGGGGAATCAGATACAAGATCATTGCCGGAATTGCTCGAGGCCTTCTATACCTGCACGAAGAATCGCAGCTAAGGATCATACATCGTGATTTAAAAGCCAGCAACATCTTGTTAGATGCAGAGATGAACCCCAAGATCTCAGACTTCGGTTTGGCAAAGCTTTTTGGTGGCGACCAGACTCAGGGCACCACAAGCCGAGTCGTGGGAACTTTGTGCGTATCACAACCAATTAATAGTCTACTCATTGAAAAAGTTTGTGTTTATGTTGATTGATCGATCGATGTTGATCTCATTGCAGCGGCTACATGGCGCCGGAGTATGCGATGCAGGGCAAGTTTTCGATCAAGTCGGATGTGTTCAGCTTCGGTGTTTTGGTTTTGGAGATTTTGACCGGAAGAAAAAACAGTAGTACCTACGACTCCGACGTCGCCGAAGACCTTCTAAGCTACGTAAGTAGTCGGGTGCAGTTTCATAACAATCAATTCACATACGTATATAGACGATAAGTAAACCATCCTGTGAAACAGATATGGGAGAAATGGCGAGGAGGAAGAGCCATGGAGATCGTAGACCCAGCCTTGGGTGGGCGGTACCAAGGAGGCGATGTGTTGAGATGCGTCCAGATCGGGCTGTTATGTGTTCAAGAAAATCCAAATGACAGGCCGACGATGTCAACGGTGGTTGTGATGCTCAACTCTGAGACGGTCTCCCTCCAGCCTCCTGCACGGCCTGCGTTCTGTGCGGGTAAGAGCGACGCGAATGCAAGCTTGGGCTCGAGTAACTCGACTCTTCCGGTCGAAAAATCTGATCGACAAAGCAAGTCATTTCCCATGTCACCAAATGAAGTTTCGGTTTCAGAAATAGAACCGAGATAGATGGGAACAGCAAAAGGCGGCCACTGTCGATCTCTCCTCACATAAGGCCGTGTGCCTGCGTTCCTGTTCTCAGACACAGCGTCGTACAACCGTGCTGTGTAGTCTCCTTTTTATCTCTCTCATGATTTACCTTCTTTTAGGAGGAGTATCAGCGGAATTCAAGCAAATGAAATGTCAAAAAGGATTCCATGTCAATCCGCATATATTTACGCTTGAATCTTCCATGTGAACTTTTGGATCAACATTTAGAATGTTGTCTTTATCTCTATAAATAATTATTCTCGAGTATAGAAAGAAGGATTATATACAAGTATAATCCTTTATCAAATAGTAGTAATATGAAGATAAAAAAATCGAGACAAATCAAAATAGAAAATATTCTCTTGAACTTCTTATAAGATCTTGATTTAATTTTAGATTTGAGCCCAATAAGCTTAAATATTTGAGATTGGGATGGATGTAGCTGTCATCTATTTATAGGCATAGAATAGTAACTTAAATCAAGAGAACCTTATCATATTTCTTATTTTAATTAACTAAAACTATATCCAATCAACTTATCTAAAAGATAAAATCTTAAACTCCTTCGAAAAATATAACTTTAAATCTTAACACTCTAACTATACTTTTGAGAATAAGTATTAATTTGCTTCGAGGATCTTCCCACGATCCTTTGGAGAGAGATTTAGTAAAAACATCTATAATATTTTCTTTGCTACCTCTACGACGTTAACGACTCCTTGAAGCATTTTTTTTGACTGAATGATGTTTAATTTTAATATATTTGGTTCTTGCATGATAAATCAGATTTATATTTTAGGATATTTTGATTGTCACGCTATAAAATAGTGGTTTCATAGTTGACAACAAACATACTTGATCTAACGCTTTAGTCATATACACTTTTTAGCATATTCTACTTCAATCGTAGAAAAAGATCGATTATTATTTCTTGCTACAATATTAGATACAAACATAATTATATAAAGAGACATAACTAAAAGTGGATATACGCTTATTCAAATCACCTCCCAAATCAACAATACACGTAACCATGAATACTCTTTTTATAATATAATTCCAAATGTCAAAGTCACATATCTTAGGATTCTCTTTGCTATAGCAATACATGACTTTTTTTGGATATTGCATACTATCAACTAAAAATATAATATTTGGTCTTGTAATTATTAAGCAGACAAAACTATCAATAAGAGCATGAAAAAAATGAAGGATTAGAAAATTTTTTGCCATCATTATAACTTAGTTTTATATTTGCATCAAGTGGAGTAGAAATATTCTTATTTTTGTTAATTTTAAATCTTTCAATAATTTTCTTCGCATAACTTTTTTGAGAGATAAATATGCATTCTTTTGTATTTATTACCACCAAAAGAAATATTAAGCTTCCCTAATACCTTCATTTCAAACCAAAATGAAAAATACCATGAAGATTTAAAATCTCCACTTGGTTATTATCAATGATAGATTATACTATCCACATATAAAAGAATAATAACAAGTAGACTTCCTTGCTTTTTCACCATAGAATAAAATTAGATGTATTGAGCAATTTTTTCATGCTTTGGGAGCTTTCTTTAACCCATAAAGTACTTTCTTAAGCCTACAAACATAACTTGGTTCGAAAATATAAATATATCTCAATATAAAAATCTTTATCAATTTCACCGTAATTGCTAAAGCTTCCACCTAAAATTAACTGTTAGAGCAATCACTAATCGAACGATTGTCATCTTAATTATAGGACTAAATATTTTCTCATAATTTTCATCATATTTTTCAAAGAACTCTATTATAATATGTTTTACCTTATAATGATCTATATTTTCATTTGACTTATGTTTTACCTTATAAACTCATTTGCAAGTAACTTGATCTACATTAATAGATTTTGACATAAGATATCTAAGTTTTATTTTTAAGAAGAACTTTCATTTCTTCGTTGAAGGCAATCTCTCACTTCTTAACCCCTTTGACTTCCTCAAAACAAGCAGGTTTAAGATATCAATTAGTTCAGAAAAAAAAATAATGACATATGCTTTCACTTTCTCAATCTCGGTAAGTTTGACAATTATTCATTTTAATTTTTTCAATATTGAAACTTTCTTTTCATGAATATTATTACTCCCTTTGTCACTTTGCTGGTGAGAAAAAAAAAAAAAAGGAGTAGATACATATGAGAAAGGAAATGAGTTAAAATTCATAGAAGCACTAGATGATCAAGAAAACTCGTTTTGAACATATATCATTTATTGCTGTGATTGATAGTATCAAAAGAAACTAATCGTGGAGAATAATAAGAAGAAATTTCTTTAAATATAAGATACATATATGTTTTTTAGTTAAAGATGCATATATGTTTTTTAGTTAAAAGATGCATTTCATAGTTTTAGCATTAAGTTTACTTCCTTTTTAGTCTAGTATACAAATACAGTATGAAGAACTTAAAATATTTAACATTTGATTTCTCTTTAAACATGCGTTCATATATTAATATGATCAAGAGCGATAGTGAGAGAGTGCAACGAAAAAATTATGTCAGTTTGAAAATCTTCATATGATGAAAACCATTTCATTTATCTTGAATGAGTAGAGAATAAGGGATTAGACAATTTGTAATGAAGTAAAGTTGAATATAGTAAAGATATTAAGTAGTAAGGAATGAACACACCATAATTTATAATGGTTCGATCGTTGTGACCTACATCCACTTTCGATTCCTCCTCCGTTGAGATCATCGACGTCCACTAATGGTCATCCTTCAATAGGCAAAGACCAACCACCTCTTTACAACACTTTCTCATTTTTACCGGTTTAGGAGATAACCCTTATAAAAAACTTCACACCTCTTCTTGGATGATTACAAAGCTAAAGAAAGGGAGGAGGAGGACTCTTCTCACTTTTACAACATTTAGAGATTTTTTTATACTTTGATTGTACTCTGTTACCCTTTCATACAGAAAAGGATGGGTATTTATAGGACCCAATGACTTCAAAATTGGAGCCAAAAAGTGTCTCGTCCCGGATTTCTAGGGTATTGGCGGTACCATCGCCTGATACTCTGACACTGTGCGATACCACTACCTAATCTGGCGGTAACATCGTCTGACAAAGTTCTCAGAGATTGAGCTCTGATGGTACCATCGCCTAGCAGGCGGTACCATCACTTGGTAGGTAATAACTACCGGTGGTACCACCGCCCAGTCTGGGCGGTACCACCACCCAAACCACTTGGGAGATCGCTCCCTAGGCGGTTCCACCGCCCTAGTCTGGTGGTGCCACCGCCAAACAGGGTCCAGCAACCTGTAGGAAAATCTAGGGGTAGCATCATATATGTAGCGGAAGCACAAAAATATAAAAATCTCATATTTTTCAAAAATGTGTTTGTCGTCGTGTGAAGTTTGATGTGCAAAAATTAGCGAAATTGAAAACCACATATGAGATAGTTGTGTTACGTAGGAAGATCGTATATTCCTAAAATCCTACAGCCCTATAGATGATGATGAAGGAGGTCAAGTGTCCTCCTCTCTACCGGTGATCCATATAGTAGGGGCTGCGAAGACACTCCTCAAATCATTGCCCAAATCTTCACACTGTTGGCTGAGGAGGAGAAGGGAAGAAGAGAATAGAATGTGACATCCAAAAAGGCATAGCCTATGACCCTTTGGTTCCCTCTTATTTATAGAGGTTCCATATCAACTTAACCCTAATGGATCCTACCATATTGGCTATTGGATCTGTATCCAATTACCCAAGTATATTAGATTAGTGGGTCTCTACCCAATAATATCTTATTAGCACTTATTGGATCTTATATATGAGATTCAATAATTTAGGGGCTTAATGGATATCCAATAAGATAGGAGCTCCAACAGATATCTCATATCCGAACCTCTACTCGTCGCAAAACATACCATATGTGTGTTACCCTCTATGCCCAATATTGAGCTGGCTGTGAGTCATACATATTCGAACTTTTTCTGGCTAAGTGAATTATTATCTCCATAATAATTCACTCGACTCATCGACTACGGACTTACTAGGCTACTACGCCGTAGTCCCCAAATGATATAAGGGAATCCAATCATTTGGACATATTTGTCCTCAGTTACTATATACCTATAGCTCATAATCTATCTAATATCTTAGAAATAGTACCTCGGCCATGATGTTGTTAGGCCCATATGATTTCTTCTCGAGTCTCGCTCTAATCGGATTCTCTCATAGAACTCTTTTTCTCTCAATCTGAATGACCTTGGCCAAGGATTTATCTAAGTATGAACTATTGAATCTCGGATTTTGATGATGAAATCAATTGGTGAATAAATGATCTAATCTATATGTTAAGATAAATGATGTAGGACTAACTACGATCATGAGAGAGGCAAAACAATTAAAGTAGAATCGAAGTTGGGCCGAATGAATTGGGGGATACACCAAAGGATTGTCAATATAGTGAAAACTCACTGGAAGTTCATTGGGAGTTTGCGAAAACTCACCGAAAGATCGCAGGGAGTTCGTTGGAAGTTCACCGAAAGTTCGGATGAACAATTGATGTGCTGGACAACTAGGATTGCTTGCATTATAATTGTTTAGCCTTAATTATCGTAGTTAGGGTTTTAATTTGAGTTAGTTTTGGGAGAAATCCTACTAACTCAATTAGGGGCCAACTAGGCCTTTAACAGGGCTGAATTGGGTCGGTTGGATAGCCCATTCAACCACTTGGAGCCACGTCAGGCAGTGGCATCGCCCAGACTGAGTGGTGGTACCACTTGAGGCTTAGCCTCCTAGGTGGACAGTGGTACCACCTAGATTGGACGGTGGTACCACCGGTAGTTATTGTTGCCAAGCGATGGTACCGCCCTGTCAAGCGGTGGTATCGCTAGAGTTTGATCTCCGAGGCTCTATCAGGTAGTAATATTGCCCAGACTGGGCGATGGTACCGCTCAGTGTCAGTTTGCAGGCGATGGTACCACCCAATAATCACGATGGTACCACCAGTTCCTTGGAAACCTATGATGAGACACTTTTTAGCTCAATTTCTAAAGCCATTAGGGCTTATAAATATTCCACTCTTTTCTGCATGAAAGAGCAATGAAAGTGTGAAAAAAAAAATCTCGAGATTTTGGGTTGTAAAATTGCTAAGTGTCCTCCTCTTCCCTTTCTTCAAGAGAGGTGTGAGGCTTGCAAGGGTTGTCTCCTAAACCTGTGAAAGAAAAAAGTGTTATAA